TGAGATACCTTCTTTTGTTGTGGCTCTTTGAGAAAACAGGATGTAAGATGTTTATTTCGGCCTGTGGGCATACGTAATGCCTAATGCTAACGATAAGAGCTCATTTTGGATTAGTTCAAATATCCAATAGTTGAATGTTTTATTCTACTTATCTTGTTCACATCACCCTCATCCTTGAAACAGAGAAAAATACTAAAAAAATAAGCACTGGTAACATGCCACAAATATGTTTACAAATGATCGGTGAACACTATAAAAAATGATATAAAAAAATAGGGAAAACTAAAGAAAAAAAGTGAAGTTTTGAAAGCAAAAACAGCAACGATGAAGAGAAAAAGATAAATGAATAGTATGGCAGAAGAGCGTAAGGTACTACTGCTAAGTTTCATTGAAGAAGAATATTAATGTACTTTGGCAACTGACCCAAGCCCAAGCCCTAGACTTGGGTACCCAAACGCAAACCCAATACACTCAAGTCGCTTGGGTTTGGGTTTGGGTTTGTAACATACCTATTTATGAGTTACATTTTCTATATATAATAACAAAATACAAAATAATACTTCAAAACCACTTAACCTGGTAAAAGAAATGAGAATTATGTATCGTTAGATATACGGATTACCGTTGAAACAGCTTACAAGAAAAAATATTGACATTAAAATATTTTATTATATTTCTATCTGTCCTTATTTTGACGGTATATTTTGATAAAAAAACTGCATTTTGTAATAAAAGTTGCAGAGATTCATTTCCTGAGTTGCATGCAGGAACGATAATTCTATGAAGCTGAATGGAGGTATTCAGATAACGAAATATTTTGAGAATATGTAACGATTGTTATTAGGCAATTAAATGACTGTTAAAAGGTTCGAAATGATTATTTCGAGATAAAAAAAGTCATTTCAACAATGGCAAATGTTTGTGGGTACGATTAAATATACTTATGATAAGGCACATGTGAGTCGTTTTCAACTTTTTTGTACAATTGGATTTTCTACTTGTTCAGCCTCTAACACCAGTTCGGAATGTCCCGTTTTCAAAATTATTTTTTTTATTCGGATGCTTTAGGTCTCTTCTTGCTGCCGAAAAAAAATTTTGTCGGTAGGACTTCACTGGATCGAGATAGAGTACTTTTAAGTGAAAAAAACGCACTTTTTCGATGACTCATTGATATAAAATAATTTTTTTCCAGACGTACGCGATTACAATTACAAAATGTAAAGTTCAAACATTGCTATTATCTGTAGAATTAAGAATTCTAGAATTCTGAGCTTTACATGTATGTAAAGTTGAACTCTACTTGTTCAGAATTCTAAAATTCTTAATTCTAGGGGTGAGTGTAGGGGTGAGTGTGAGGGTGAGCGTGAATATGCAACTTCACATGTATGTAAAGTTGAACTCTACTTGTTCAGAATTCTAAAATTCTTAATTCTAGGGGTGAGTGTAGGGGTGAGTGTGAGGGTGAGCGTGAATATGCAACTTAACATGTATGTAAAGTTCAAAATTCTAGAATTCTGAATTCTGTAGATAATAGCAATGTATGAACTTTACATTTTGTAATTGTAATCGCGCAGCTCTCTTTTTTTTCAGAAAGAAAGGAATAAAAAGAAAAATGTGAACAACACATTTTGTACAGCATTCAGTTCTCTATCGACTGATACTATTTACTATCGCTTCTGTTTAGATTTTCTTGGTCATTTCTGTCAGAAATAGTTTTACGCACTAAATAATGTAGAACCAGTAGAAAGTCGTCAACCGTGGACCAATATGAGAGATTTTCAAAAACTGAGACGAAAAGATAGAGCATCAAAAACTCTACAAAACTACCGAAAAATCATTTGGCTAAAGTGAAACCGATTGGCCGAAAAAAACGAAAACTGCGCTTTCAATCACTTTGTAGAACCAGTTTTTGAAAATTGTTTCGATCTTCATGCCTAAAGTACTGAGCCGATCTCGATGAAACTGGCATAGAAAGATGTAGCTTTCAAAATTGCACAGATATAGCACTTCGACGACCTTGGCAATTAGCATTTTTAGGGAAAGTTTTATGTTACACCTTGAAATATAGAACCAGTTTTATTTTGCGAATAACTCCAGCTAAATCTGGTTTCTAACCTAGGTGAGTCACTCATGAGACATAACTCAGTAGTCAAGCCTCGCGAGTGTAGTTAACTCTCGTCGAAAAAGTGAGTTAAGTCCAATATGGTTCAGAAGGAGTCGCCGCCACTTAATCTAAAAAAGAAATAAACAAATATTCTACAATGAATGGTTGTTGCCGTTCAATTTACACTTCTTATATACTTCTGCAGACGCAAAACAAAACGGTGAATGTGTCAGCATTCTTCCTGGCAAATCCACTTATAGTGTTAGAGATCTATATAAACTAGTTCTTGTGGACGTGCGGGTTTACCTGAGGAAGCCCCTGACATATCATTCGATCATGTAAACCTTTCAAGCCTTTATTAAATCTTGCCCAGTGTTTGGGAAGTTGCTGCTTTACTTCAGTGGTTGCTATGAACATTGACATTTAGCACGGATGACTGTAACATTCACAGAGCCAGTTAACTGAATTTTCTCTTTAATACTAAAGGTATACTAAAGGTAACAAAAAGTAAGCAAACAGTACTTGTCTATGACTTTTTGATACATTTATAAGGTGCAAATAATGCAAAAATGGCGCAGAATTTATTTTCGTTCTTTCTGTTATAGTTGGATAGAGCTCATTGAGTTACATAGAAAAAAGTCTACTTGAGGCTTTCTGAAGTTACTTTTGGGTGAAAAATTTCGCGAAATATTGACTTTAAAGAAGAGACACAAATACATGAAATTCTGAGAAATACCTAAAATTTTCATATTTATTCCTGATCTATCATTTTGAACCTAATTTTTTCTGATTCGGCATGCAAAACTGACTATAGAAAATCGAATTCGACAATTTCCGTAGTTAAAATGAAATTAGATTTTGACAAACCCGAGTAGAACCAGAAAAGAGCCTCTGTTCATCTTGCAAACCTATCTGGTTTGTCTGGTTAAGAGATAAAATTTTTTTCTTATCTTCATTCGAATCATCATATCAGTGAGGAAAAAGGTAAGGATCGCTTTTTTGAAATTATTGTATCTTTGTTGAAAAACTGCACTTTCTTTTTTCTTGAATTTTGTGCACCGAAATGGGGGTGGTCAACTTCGAGTAAAAACTTAAATTTTCATTGCAATCTTGTCAACATATAAGCATATACGTAAAAAACGATGTAGAATTCAATGGACATAAAATTAAGTTTTTCAAAAGGCTTTCAGAGGATCGCTAGAGGATCAAGTTTGTGATAACCATGCATGCAAAAAAAAATGTCGTTATCTCAGATACAAGTGACATATTTGAAATATAGTAATCATTTACATAATAATCTTTACATAATATGTTAAGTGAATTCCGTTTGGAAACCAAATGACTGAGAGAAAATAAGCTGAAAGTTGGCAATATACTCTTATAATGTCCATTAGTTTTATCACAAAAAATATATTTTGAAGAAATAGTAGAAAATCAAATATAAAACTAAAAAGCTAGAAACAACACGCCTAATCTTATTTCTATATGTTAAACATATCTTCTATATGTATTCATTATAACATAAAACTTACACATTGTAGCTTAATTATTAATTTGATCATGATAAGTTGATGTTAAACGGACTTTTCTTAAATAGAAGAAATATCGTTCGCTTTTGTGATAAGAAATCGAGTCGATTTAGGTGCTTCATTCGGCTTAGCCTGCCCGGTAGGAGGTACTGGTTCTCGGGGTAATGATGTTAATCGTTGCAGAGACGGACGTTGAGAATTTTGAGGTTGATGATAATGATGGTCATTAAACGAATGATTTAATGTTTGATTTGATTGAAATGATGGCATTTTTTCATGTAATGAATAGGAACGATGAAAGGATGATAATCCTGTCGATTGTGTTTGCAGTTGTTGTTCACGCAAGAATATTTCATTCCATTTTGGTGGTAATATACCAATCAGGTCATGATAGGATGCTGTTATGTCTTCTTGATGTTGTTTATTGATACCGTGGTGTGGTATCAGTCGACTTAAATCCATTCGTTCTGCTTCTTTACGTAATTGTAATAGATCACGTGCCATTATTTGTACCTTTTCACGGCTAACTGGACTTGTCAATTCATAATCATTTCGATTATATAGATCTAAGTCGTACTCTCGTGCAAATGCTTGTAGACGATTAAATTTACGTTTTGAATTATGACATTGAATGAAATAATTAAAATTATTTTCGGATGTATTTTTGCTAATCGTCGAAACGAGATCATTACTGTTGGATGAATAATCATCTGGATGTTTAGTCGTATTATTTTGTTGTTGTGTTGACGAGGATGATTTGAATGTTTTCCATTTATTAACAATAGTTTGTGCTAAATTTTTATCACCGGCGTCCTCTTGTTGATGAATAGTTTTATTGTAATCTCTTGCAACACGAACATCATGATGAAAAAATTGAGTAATATCATCATTTGTTTGATTCAAAGGTGCAACTTCCTTTATTCGCAATATGATCAACGCCATGATGATGATACATAAAATATTGACTATTGTCAATAGAAAACTACTAACACCGAGGATGGCCGCTTCTGTAGCAAGGTTACAACTGTATAACGGATGATAATCATTGTTTACATATTTTGTACAGTTTTTTACGAAACTCTGCGCATTTAAAACACCGTTTAATTGAAATTGATTATCATCAATATCTTTTGAGTAAGCTGCAATAGTTGAAAATGTTTTACCTAATAGAGCATAGGCGAATAGTAGACCACAGTTGACAGCTGGTGGAAGTAATGATGCTAAATACAGAAAAAAACTTCTAGAAGTCGTTCAATAGCGTACGTCTTGTATGTAGGATTACCTGAGATTGCAACACCCACCAGAGAACCTAGTATAAATAAACAGACTAGGTTAGATTAATAACCGTTTCTTTTTCAGTTCTTACCAGTATTGCCTCCCAGAACAGATAATGCTACACCTGCACCTGACGGAAGAGCTATTAAAACTCCAATCCATAACCGTCTAATATTACCTCTTGATCTCATCTCTGATGTAGGAAAAGATGTTGAGCTACCCCAATTAGTTTCGGAAAATGTTGTAAATAATCCTAATAAAAATCCGCATGAAAGACAAATTAGAAGTCCAATAATTTCATTTCTTAATCCACATTTCCATAGACTATGTTCTCGTACGGATAAACCAAATACAATACCAAGAATTGGATTCATTAACGGCGAAATAAGCATACTTGCAACGATAGTTACTGTACTATTTTCTAAAAGTCCTAAAGCGGCTAACATACTGGCTAATATAAGAAGAATAACAAAATCAAATGTAAGAGCGGTTGATAACCGTATAGCTGCGACAACCTGATGTACCATTAGACGTGCCCGAACACTCTTTCTAAAATCTGATTCATTTTTTTTATGTTTTATTTTTCTTGTTAACGTTAAGTTTTCGTTTAACGCTCCTTTTAAACCATTCGATGCTGATCTATCATCAAGTTGTTCATCCTGATTACTCATTGTCATCGGTGATTCTGCACCTACCACACAACTTGTAGGTAAAATAAATATTTTTGTACCGCTTCGTACTCCAATCTCAATACGTCGTAATTCTTGTAGCATTCGATCACTAACAATACCAAATTCAGCAAAAAATGTTATTTGATACGTTTTCTTATCATCAGAAATCATCCATACCGCATCGGTACCCAATACACTTTCCAAATACGACTTTAAACTACAACATATGGAACGTTCACGAGGCATCTGGGAGCTCTCATTAGCACTGTCATTTGTTTCGTCAAATGTGGCATTGGTTATTGTCGGTAAATCGGGTGAAGTTGAAGATGTTAAAGTGCCAGGTCCGAGTAGAGCGGGTAACACTTGAAGAACTCCAGGTTTCTAAAGAAAAGAGATTTGTATTATTTGAAAAAGTGAAGCAGTGGTTTACATACTGGAGTAGATTGTTCTTTTTCAACAAAATCATTTTTCAAATCTTCGACAGCATTAACAAGTGCTACTGCCGTTTCTTCTATAAGATCATTTGGAACTAGGATAATAAATAAGGCATAGTCTCCAGACATTCTTTTAATTTTTTATTCGTTTATAATTTTATTGTATTATAATTATTGTATTGTATTTATTAATATACAGTGGTTTTTTGTTAACATATCTTGAAAAAATAAAATTTTCTGTTCTTTACTGTTTGAATTCCTTTTTTTTTCTAAAACAAACTGGATAATCAAGGTATACAAGGTTTGCTTACTATTATGATATTTCTTGAAGTGTTTTTTTAATAAGTGTTTTAAATTTTTTCAGATAATAATTGCTGAATTCTACATACAGTGAAAGGTACAAAAAGAGTTCTTCTATCGAATATCATAAATTGAAAAAAGAGAGAAGCATATGTTTGGTAGTGTGAGAAACAAAACGAAAAACATGTCAGAGTCAATAAATCAAGGAGAGTATAACTGAGCTTTAAACTTCTATGTTTTTCGTATATCAATATTGGTTTATAGTACAAAAAGATACCCGACCATTCTCTGTTATTGAAACGAGTTATATTGGAGCAATGACAGTCGCTGTCATTATTACGATTTGTCAACATCTTAAAATGAATGAAAGAATGAATGTGGTAAAAATGGGTCTTTTTTTCCGTATTATATCATACCTTATAACCTTTTCTTTCTTTTTCGTTCCATAAATGAATAGTATCAAAAAGAAAGAAATTGAATTGCATCCGTTCGAGAGAAAGTGACAGGAGTTCACTTCTGTTGGATACCGTTAAAAATCTGTTGCTTAAAAGTCGATTTTTTAACCAGCGCATACTAATTACCCATATTTTCTCATCTTGGTACTTGTCCATCTTTATCTAATAAAGATTGTAATGTCAGTTTTAGTGTGCGTATGTGTGTATTTAGCTATACAAAAATAAACCATCATAGTTAATTGAGTGATAAAATATCCCTATACTAATAAAAAATAATAAACTATACTACATCATTATTTGCCATTTATGTGATAATACCTAATTTACGTTGTTCTTTTTCTTATGTGTTATTGTTGACTTAATAACAGGGGAGATTCTAATAGTCATCTATCTATAGAGACAATAAAATTGATAAAGAACACGACATGAATTATGTGAATTAACTCACGAACAATTTTTTTTCGATTCATAGTCCAGATATAAAAGTGATCAACGAGCAAAAAGATTTCGTTTTTATACAAACTTATTTTATTTGTGCATATTATTTTCTTTTAACTTTGTTGAAACACCGGATTTAACTAACAAAAACCATTACTTGTAAAATCTAGAAGTATCTTAATAAGTGGTCATGCTTAACTATGTTATTTGGTACGATCAATCGACAGAAACTGAGTATGCTGAAAATTCTTGTAATCTAAAATTTTCTTAAAACCAGTCTCAAGTAACTTTTCAAGAAATCAAATATTTTCTCTTTAGAATAATATTGCTAAATAGAAAATCATAAGCTAGATCTAAAGGATAATAAGTCAATTGGACATAACAATGATTGCGAAAAATATATATTTTACTTGCTGCTCTTTGTTTTATGCGTTCTTATCTAATTTATAAGAGTATGTCAAAAAAAGCACTAAAGTCAATTATTCAGGTAAAAACAACATAGCTGGTTTATAATAATAATTACATTAAAAACACGTACCTGAAAGTTTTTTCAGTAAGTAAGTTAGACAGCTTTTTTGAACTGTGCTTTCGATATTATCACTTTTAGATTTGCTAAGCTGTGGAATATCCCAGAACAATTTAGCTCCTGATTAACAAACGTTACTTGTCTGTTAAAACTTGTTATCTTTTATAATAACTAATCGGCGTACAATAACTATAGAAGATCTAATAACGTACAAACGAGCACACTAGTTTTTTATGTTTATAATGTAGTACTAATTTTTTATTTTTTATGAATAACATCTAAATTAGATATCTTTTCCTCAAGTTAATACTTCGACAACAGTTTGTCAAAGTTTCATCTTCAAGGATAAGCTTACGAGGGAACCCCACGAAGTGATTAAACGCTTTTTGCTCGGAATCTAGTGGGTTATAGGTTATCGACCATGCGGCTTCCGCATAGCCCTTCGAAGACCTGGTTTTCTAGAAAACGAGTTTTTCAGAAACCCCAAAAAATAACCCGAACCGTTCTTAATGAGGCATGATTGTAGCCCGCACATTTCTGATT